TCACAAGTGAGACCTAAAGCTGTTTGGAGCAGTWTTTACTGAGCTGAAATGGGATCTACCAAGCCAGGAGCTGTTTGTTTCACAGAGCTGATCCTGTGTCTCCTCTGGATAAACACCTAAAGGCACAGCAGGCTCAAGCTCAACAGATCCAAGGGCAATCTGTACTATTGCTCAGACCAAAAGAAAAAAATGGAAACCAGGTTAATATTAGCACTGAGGCTGATTTGAACTTGTGGCTCCCTKAAAATAAAGCTTTTGTAATGGGGATCCACCCTTGACTGTTACAGCACAAACACTGCTACCGAAATATAGTTTTGAGCCAGCTCCATCAAGGAGTGTTTTGTAAATGAATAATGACTTTGCTTGAAGCTAATCAACATCAAGTGAGTTAAAAAAGATGAAATAGTGCTGGAAGGCAGTGGGAGGTAGAGGAGCCTCAAAGTGCAAACAGGTGCTGATCTCCCTTCAGGGGGGATGGAGTGGCACAGACCTGACCGGGCTGTCAGTGCTGATCAAAGGCAGCTCCAGCACACACAATCACCAGCAGCACCTTCCCAAGGATGCCCTGATTTATCATCTGTCACTGTTAATAACTTGGCTACTCGGGCTAAAATACTTAAAAACATTACACCAGGAGAACATTTCAATTTTTTTTTTTTTTGAAGCAATGTGTAAGTGTTTTAAGCTAAAATGCACTGAAGTTGGTCCTTTGAGGCCACCTGCCATCCAAAGGCCACCTGAGCAGGTAAAATGGCATCATTGCAGAGCAGTGAGGAGGGGCTGTGTCCCAACCACTGAGCCATGGGGTGACAGCCACGTGTGACTGATGGCTGTGGAATAACACACACATGAAACTCTGCTTTGGGGAGGAGCTCAGAAGGGTCTGAACATTCCTGGGCTGGGCTCCTCACACCCTCTGAGCCTCGGAGCTCAGTTACTTTTCCTAAAAGTCTGAGATAAGCAAATACCTATTGGGCCTTGACAGTAAAGTAAAAATCCTATAAAATTCAACAAATAAAAATACAATTATGATTTCACTAAAATTTAAAATTAGTCTGAGATGTTGTATCAGTGGTTTTTAGTATTATAATAATTTAACTAATATTCAGCCTTCTAATGCAAGAATACAAATCTGTGTTAATTATTAACAATGCTATATGAAATTAATTGTTTTGAAAATAAGAATTTCACTTTCCCTTAACAGTAATAAGCTTCCCATTCCCTAAGTAGCAACTTCAGTATTAAACTGTTAAGATTGTTGGGAGTTWTGGGACAGTAAAAAGTACAATTTCTGTATTAACTCATTCTCAAGATGTCCTTAAAGCCAGTCATCACACTCTGCTGCATTTACAGTGTACTAGTCCTGATGTAAAGAAATTACCATCATTATGTACCTGAAGAATCTCATTTGCTTACCAGCAACCCATCCCAAATAATTCCTGAATAACCACAAACATGGAATAAAATTGGAATACTTAGTTTACAGTTTAACAAGAATCTATTTGTAACACGATGTATCCAGCCAAGCATTATTTGGCATTTTTATAGAAAAAGGTGCAGTTCTGCTCTGGTGACAATGAAGGGCCTAAGCTGATAACTGGATCAATTCAGAATGGCAGCAGGAATTCAGCCACTGCTGAACATCTTCCTGCACTATTTTTCTCTTCCAGAATCCTAATAGCARGCTGTAAGAATTCATCATTAGCAATGAAAGCAAATCATTTTCTCCAGCCCAGCAAAGCAGTGAGGTGTTTATGTCAGTGACTAATGCACATGAGGGTGAAGGCTGAAAGCAGTCCCAAACAAACCTGTCACAGCAGAGCCAGCACTGCCCTTTGTGTCAGAGCAGAAATCCCTGTGAGGCTGSAAGGTGACACACTCAGTGACACAACACATTGGGAGGGTTCCTGCAGCAATTTATAATACACAGCTCGGGTAAAACCCTGCATTTCTCAGCTCTGATGCAATCCATCTCAGCCASAGCACACACAGACATTCATTCCTGGCTTCACATTTGTTCAGTGCAGTGTCCCACTTTGGCTCCAGCACGGTGTCCTCTGCCTGGATTAACTCCCAGGGCATCCCAAAGCTCTGTGTCAAACAGTGCCACACAGCACAAAAGAGCAAAAAGATTCTTTCTCTTCCTCCAAAGAGAAATTTCATATCAAAAGCTGCTTTACATATGTGCACTTTAGACATAAAGATTATGAATAATACCTGCAAGAKCATTTCTGTCACTCAAGTTCCTTGTGGCTGCTGGGAACATTTAAAAGGAGTACAAGGCAAAGATTTATCTGTCACACTGCACAGATAAACTGAAAAACCTGACCACCACTAAAAACCCTTTTGTTGGAAAGTTCCCAGTCACAACATGAGTGTCACAAGAACCCAAGGCCAAGGAGAGCTCTCTTCTCTCCTGATGAAATCCCTGAGAAAGCTTTTCTGGGTGACAAAGTGAGGTTCTATCCCTGCTTCAGCAGGTGATCACCCAGCCTGGCACCAAAACCTGCACGGAAAACTTCAGCTTCACACAAAACTCCACTAAAAACTCCTGGAAAATGCGTTTACAATGTGAACTCAGATAAGTTCCCTGAAGTGGCATTCAAACCCTGCATTTGTACTTGCCGCTGTTCCCTAAGTCTTTCCACAAACAGAGACACTTTCAGCGCTGTTAGAAAGGGAGAAATTCCCTGAAGGGTAGAGACGGAATTGTGYTCCAGCTGTGTGATCTTTCACATGCTGAACATACTCTATGCAAATTTTAGAGGGGTGTTAACCGAGGATCATTGTTGTAATCTCAGTGCTTTGTAAACACGCTGCTACTCTACATCACTGCAGCTTTTTACATCACTAAAGCTTCTTCCCGTTCTGCTTTCTCAGTTGCAAAGCTCACCGAAAGATGCAACTTCAAAATCCATTTATTTCATTCCAACTTGCAATTTCTTTCAAGCAAATTACTGTTCTCTCTGTTTATACTTGCAGGCAAGTATAACGACAACTATTATATCCAAAGTGTGCTTTTAAAAAATATYCCAGAAAACAAGTTTATTAACCGCAAAGCACATCAGAGAAAGTTTAGAACACACAAAATTATCAAACTAAAGAACATATTTTATTTTTTAATAAAATAGTGGAGCATGAAAAATAATTGTATATTACAAATATATACAGCACAAAACTGTGCACCCCCAGCACAGTAAAGAGCATCACTCTATACAAAGCTTCCCTTTGCAGAATCTAGTGCTTCTTGATCTATTCATAGTGAGAATTTGTTTAACAATAGAAAGAGTCAATAAGCCCTTTGGGTCCCTTTGAATTGATCCCCCCCTTTTTTTTCCGCACAAATCAGTCCAAACGTGTATAACATTGGCTTGATTTCCATTAAAAAGCCACAAAATGTAACACTAAAGGGTTTCTGAGGACTAGACCTCTTAGTTCTTTTGTTAAGAGATTTCTTTTGTTGTCTTTATGTACAGCAAAATACTTGTTTCTCTTTTCATGTCATGGTAAGRAAAAAAAAATGTATTGCACATTATTCTTATTCACAAAGTTTGTGTCTGGTGCAGGAAGTTTCTCTTTTGGTGAAAGAATATTGGTGAGCATTATAGATTAAGCCTATTTTTAGGCACTCCAAACGCACAGGGCTGAGAGGAGCTGTAAAGGATTTTAAAGTTAGCACGGAGATGCTTTCCCAGATCAATCCCTGCTCAGGATGGGCCTCCCCAGTCCCTCAAGAGACAAAGCTCACTCGGGCACTTTTCAAATCAAACCAYTGCTCCATAAAACTTGCCTATACCTTGTTACTCAGAAAGCTGAAGAAAATCCAGCCCAGCTACACGAAAAAGTTAAATAGGTGGTTGTTGCTGAGTTTGAGTCTGTTTTTATGGTTGGTTTTTTTTTTAATCTGAGGGCTGGATGTAATGTACTAAACTACAGATTAGTAACAGAACAGACCTGTTGTCATTCACAATATTTCTTTCACTGAAAACCTTTCCATGAGTACATTTACCTTCAGTTTTTTCACCAGGTCCTGAATTCAGCATGATACATTTTTGTGTCTTGAGATATTAAACTGTTCTGACAAAAAAAAAAAAAAAAAGAGCACCATTTTTTTTTTTTTTAAATTTCAGACTGCTGCTGTGGACATTTGTAAGTCTGTAAGGTGAGAGAGGGTCTTTTCTAACACCTGGTCACACACAAGTGGGCGGCTGTAATGTTGATTCATACTTTGCAAGGTGAGTTTTCTGTGGATGCTGAGGTTTTTTATAGATTCCACTACTCGTAATAACACTTGCAGGTTTTCTCCTRCTTCTCTTCTTTAATCTCCGACTACAAACATTTTGCCACGATTGRAGAGTCTTGGAAGTCCAGATCCACATGCCACTAGTAATGCCCACAACTAATAACATAAAAATTTTGACCATAAAAATTTCTACTGCTGGGATRGAGTTATTCATCATGCAGTCTAAATTTTTAGTCTGATTGTTCATCTTGCATTTCTGTTGAGTTGCCACGATTTTCCAATAATCCATGTTCAGTCTCTCATAAAAATAGCAAGCTATCACACAAGTTGCAGGCACTGTATACAAGACTGAGAAGACACCAATCCTGACCATAAGTTTCTCCAACTTGTCRGTGTTTTCTCCACCCGTTTTCATCACCCTCCTGATATGAAAAAGGGCCACAAAGCCAGAAAGAATAAAAGAAGTGCCAATGATTAGATAACAAGCCAAAGGAATGAGCACAAAGCCCGTCAGGGCGTTCACATCCATGCTGCCCACATAGCACAGCCCTGTCAGCTCGTCTCCAGCCACCCTTCTCATCACCAAAATCATGATGGTCTTCACTGCGGGGATGGCCCACGCTGCCAGGTGAAAATAGCTGCTGTTGGCCTCGATGGCTTCGTGCCCCCACTTCTTCCCAGCCGCCAGAAACCAGGTGAGAGTCAGGATCACCCACCACAGGGAGCTCGCCATGCCGAAATAATACAGCACCAGGAACACGATGGTGCAGCCSGTGCTCTCCAGGCCCTCCTGGATGACATAGAGCTGGCCGCTGTCCCTGTCACACGCGATGCTCTCAGCCCCCGAGAAGAGGCGGATGATGTACCCCACCGAGTAGACACAGTAGCACATGGACAGGAAGATAATGGGCCTCTCGGGGTACTTGAAACGCTGCGGATCGATGAGAAAAGTGAGCACGGTGAAAGCGCTGGAGAAGAAGCACAGGATGGACCAGATGGCAATCCAAATGACAGCAAACTGCTTGTCGTCCCTGCTCCAGTAAACATCAACCCCYGGCGTGCAGAGCGGCGCGCAGGAAGCGCTCTTTTCCACATGGTGGAACTTGCCGGGGTTTTCGCAGGACGCTCTGCCCAGGCTGTCCTTGTGCTGCTGCAGATCGTGGCCGCCGCTGGGCCGCTGCGGGCGGAACATGGGGGGCAGCATGCTGGATCCCCTGGGCGGCTCATCCGAGCCGTTGTTGGGSGCTTCCATGCACAGGTAGTTGGGGTCGTTCTTGTTGGGCAGCTTGCTGCAGTCCAGCGAGTCCGGCCACTTGAAATTAAACTGCTCCATAATAGGGGAGCACTTGAGCCTCGCCTGCTCGCACATCACCCTGCAGGCTGGGATCGGGGTAGAGACCTGCTCCGTGCACATCGGGGCGTAGAGGGAGCACAGGAAAAATTTCAGATGGCTGTGGCACCCGTACTCCACCAAGGGGGCAAACTCGTGCAGCTGAATGGCAGCTTCCCTTTGGTTTTCGTGCCCCATCAGGTTGGGCATCCTCGTCATGTTGTAGCCAATATCCTTGCACATGGGGATCTCGATGGGCTGGCACCTCCCGTCGCCGGGCCGGTCGATGTCCATGGAGCTGATGGCCGCGCAGCAGCCGCTGAGCCAGCAGAGCAGCAGCGCGGAGCGCCGGGCGGCCGCCGGGCCCATCGTGGCGGCTGGAGAGCGGCCGGAGCGCGGCGGGAGGGGACCGGGGGGACCGGGGGGACCGGGGGGACCGGGGGGACCGGGGCTCAGAGCAGCGGCCGGCCGGGCCCTGGCCTCCCCGGCAGCAGCGGCAGCATCGGCAGCATCGGCCCGGAGCGCGGCGGGGCCGCGGGGCTGGAGGAGCGGGGCAGCATCGCCCGGGCGGAGCGGGGAGCGCAGTGCCGCCCTCCGCGGCTGCCGGCCCGGGGGAAAGCGCCCCCGCTCCGCTGATGCGCCCAACTTACTGCGGGCAGCCCGGCAACTTTCTGCTCCCCGGCTTCCACTTTGGCGATCCGTCCTCCCGGCGCTCGCCTCCGCTCGTTCCTCCGCGCTCTGCCGCTTGCCGGCCCCGGGGCGATGCCGGGCGAGTTTGGGTCCGGGGCAGAGCCGAGCGGTCACCGCTGCCACTCGCACATGTCCCGGGCGCCTTTTGGGCTCCGGGGATTCTCCTCTCCTCCAACGGGTCACAGCTCCGCACTTTCTGGCCGAGAGGTGGGGATTGGTTTATCCGAGTGCGGAATAAAGGAGGAGGAGGAGGAGGAGGAAATATCTAAGCCATTGAAGAGGGGGCCTGCAAAGCCCCCCCTCGCTCCTCGCCCTCTGCTCTGGCTTTGCGATAGGTCGGCTCCGCTGCGCTTTGGCGAGCAGGGCTGGCGTGTGCGCGGTGCCTGTGCCGGCTCCGCTCCCCCCGAGCAGCTGGGCTTTGGGGGCGGCTGAATCGAGGGTAAAGTAAAAAAAAAACCTGTCCAGGATCCGCCTCGCATACGACATCCACTTTGCATGAGAAAGGTGAAGCTGACACGGTGATTACTTTCCAATCACTCGGAACGCCTTGAAACCTCCTTAAGGACCCCTACAGGTTCTCCTTGATCGGCACAGATTAGAAAAAGCCCCATTTGTTTCTCTCTCCTTCTCTCTTTTCCTTCCTTTCTCCTTTCCCTGCCGTTGCCCTCTGTTGAAAGTTTAACAAGATCTTTTCTGTAGAAGGCGTCAGCCTGCCCTCCCTGCTCAGGTAGGAAGCCAGGGAGAGCGGAGCCTTCAGACTTCGTGTCTCCTCATCAGAGGGTTGAAGGTGGTGCCTCCTTGACTGCCTTTATTGGAGGGGGGGCAAAGCTTTAGCAGGGAGGATGTGGGGAGGAGGATGCATTTTATGGCGAGTGCTATAAACTCTTGGCTGCCAGGGTCATAAAAGATGGTTGCTTTCAGCCCGGAGTCTCAGCTTTTTTCAAATGTCGTGCTTTGTCTCGAATTCCTAAGTGAACAGGACAGGCAGGATTGCTGGAAAAGTACCTGATTATGGTTTTAATCACGGTATGGCATCACTCGAAAAGTAGCTTGCTTTTTTATTTTTTTTTTCTTTCCTCTTTCTTAAATAAGAAATGCTAAGAGGACTAGAGACATACCCTTGGGGAAGTTACTTCATCCACTATAGAAAAGATACTTACAGATTTTGGAGACGGGAATCGTTCTAAAGTGAGTCGTGTTTACTTTTAAAGTTCAGCTTTGAGATTTATTTTGCTTA